GTGAATAATCTGTTGGGTTGGGGTGGGTGCTCCAACTCATGGCATTTTATGTAAAGGATTATGTTTTAGAGTGGGGGCCTGCACATCTGTCAGGCCCTTTAGGGCTGACTGTGGGTAGAAATACGATCTGCAGGCACCAGAAAAATGAAAACAGTAAAGTCCAAGGTAGGGTACAAAAGGCTGTTGTTACGAGAAAAGGGCATCTCATATTTCTTGTGTCATAGGCCAAATGGAGGAATTTTTTTATAAGTCTTATGTTTTTCCTTGGAATAAGTTCATCACAAATTGAGAATCCTTCATTTGATGTCAGAAATGGGGCCTAATCCTACTCCCTTGGAAGTCAATCATGAGTCTTCCTTTGATGCCAGTAGAAGCAGAACTGGGCTTTTGGCCAGTCCATGACCTGGGAGATATCTTATTAGGCTTTACAGTTAAATTTTCATGACAGAATGTGTATCAAGTCACTTGACTTCATCACCACATTTATACCAGCTTTTTGTCTGTGTAAACCACTGAACTAAATAGTCAGAGACACCAAAATGGGAAACTGAACCTCCTGTTTCTCCTTATTGTAAAGTAAACCTAAAACTTCAGTCCTCTTTAGCCTGCTTTAACATTCTAAATCCAGGATAATGGGAGATGTATTGTTTGTATGAAACATTCTTTCCTAAAATAAAAAGGTCAGTCTGCAGTTTGATACTATGTGACAATGTGTAGTTGCTTCATGAGAAACATGGTATGTTATGATATTTTAATGTACTATGGTGGTGTCAGAAAACTCAAAGCAACTATGGGGTTGTTAATTACAAACTGATACTCTTCAAAGTACTCAACCTTCCCACCAACAGTATACTGTAGTAAGTTTTAAGACGGCCAAATTATGAGAGAGGTATTCTGATACAGACATGCTAATTAAAGCAAGCTTATGTAATCAGGGCCAGGACATTTTGGAGAAGATTATGAAGTTTACAGCTAATGGTTCTGGTGCTTCAGGCACAGGGGAATACTTTGAAATGCTCCATTTTTGTCACCATCTGAAACATAGGTGATGTTCAGCATGTAGGACTCTACAGTCCTCACATCTTCCTACTGAAAGCAACTGCCTTATATGATACTCTAAAGAACATAAGATGCAAGCAGGTAAGACATTGTGTTGGTATTTTTAAAATATCCATCATCCAGGAAGCCACTGTTATCACAGAACCAGAAAGCCTAAAATAACCATAACTGAGTTACCATCTATGCAAAATGGGATTGGAGTACACTTGTAGCCCAGGAAATATATGAGGCAACATGATTTTTTGTTTGTTTGTTTTCATTTTGTTTTGTTTTCGGTGATATCTTTTACTGGACCAACCTCTATCCCAACTATATAGCTGGTCCAACAAATGATATTAGGAAAAAGAACCCCTCCACCCAAAAAACCTTTCCTCTATCCAAACACACTAGCCAATGGAGCTTCACAAGATCCAAGCTTTTGCACAATTTGTCCCCATTGATTGGGCATGAGGAAATCATTTGTTCAGGTCTAAGCAGACCTGAACGTCAAAAGCTTAAAGTAAGATAATGACGCACACACTGCAAAAAAGTTGTTTTTCCCACTGGCTGTTTTGAAACAACTTATTAAAATATTACACGCAAGGTAAGTTCACTCTTTAAGCCTAAAGCAAGTTTTCTTTCCAAAAAAGCAGTGGTACCAAATAGAATGGACATTGGAGATTTATTAGTTATTGTAATTGCTATACAAAATTTACAAAAATCTGTTTATTGAAACAAGCATTTAGAGTGGTATTCAAAGCAGAGCTAACACCATCAGAAAACAGTACATTTCCTATGCAAAATTCTACCACTGCAAAAAAAAAAAAATCATTACAAAACCTGCAAGTATGCAACCAGGATATGTGGCTACTTGCTCATTATCACCTCAGCTGACTAACACTGCCAAGCAAACCTTAAATTTACAAACACACTTGCAAGAAACAAAGCAAATTAACAGGTGATATGAAATCTCACTTCACTATCTAGTAGATGAGTGTCTGGTATACAACAGTAACTTTAACTGATCACCAGAAATTCAAGCTTTTAAGCTTTACACACAGCTTCATCACCACATAATCATACTTAATACCAGCAAAAAGAGCAGTCATGCAATATACATAACACTATTTCTAATCTGAAATTCTGTGGCTGCATGTTATAAAAAGTAATGACTTGTGTCCTATGAATTACCTCTAGAGGGGAGCAAGGGTCAAGGTTGAAAAATCAAGTTTCCCTTTGGACTCTGGCTTGAATCTCATTAGCCTTTGAGTACTGCCTCAAAGCATTGGCCTTAACAAACCCCTGAAGTTGAGGGAAGTTACAACTAGGATAAAAGATCCATAGACCAAAGCAATTAAATGTAGCTATTAAAAGCTTTTGCTAATATTTAAATCTTCAAAACCTGAAACATTTGTGATGAATATATACTTGAGTTTACCTCAAGTTAACTGATGGCTAACTAATCTGGGGTAATTACATGTCTTAGAAGATGGTTTTAAAACAGTCAATAAAGAGTAAAACAAGTTAAGTTTTGAATACTACCTGTATATATACACCTTATACTCCCCTCCCACACACTTAGAGAAAGTGTACACTCATCTTAAGTCTCCATGTAAAAAACACTTATCCCAAACATTAAAAAAGCTCTCCTGAGGCAGGAAGAAAAATGTCAAACCATATGACAAGTCAAAAAAAAAACACAAGCAAGAATTGTAGCACTAACATGGGAACACATTAAATTTCATGGATTTTTTTCCTTTACTTGAGGCTGAATCCTGAATTCTTAACTCTGATAATTAGTCCAAATGATGACAAAAAGACTATTCATATAGGAAGGTTTTGCAGGAGAACCTGGGCAAGTTCATTTAGGCATGCATGTAAAATAGGGTTGAGATCCCTTCCAACCCTAATTTTCTATAGGAAGGATTTGGGGGACATTAGATCATGTGTCTTTGAGAAAAAAATATTTTACAACGGGTGGGCAATTATTTCGGGTAGAAAGCTGCTTAACGAATTTTGGTTAGCTGTTGAGGTCTGCATGGATAGTCCCACTGCTTGACAGCTGCTCCACCCCCTGGTCACCATCTTGGGACTGGAAGTCCTGCCCTTAACCCCTGACCTTTGTCACCTGAAGTCCTTCCCCTTGTCCCCTAGAAATACTCCTTTTGGGAGGGGGGATTGCCATCTTAGAACCGTAAAAAAAACAATCGTACACTAAAAGACAAAAATTACTATAACATATTTTAATTTTATTACAAAAAACACTGTATATTGAGGTGATTGCATAAATAACTCAAAAATAAAATCTTAGTCTCGTACATTGTGTGCGTGTGTGTGTGGGGTGAGGTGGGGTGGTTGTGTGGGGGAGCATAGGTTATGTTGGGGGTTGTGGGAACAGGGTGTGGGTGTGTGTCATTTGTGGGCTCTGAGAGAGGGTGGGGGGTCTGGGGATCCCCCTGCACTCCCTCTATGGCACAGCAGTAGCAGGCAGGGCACTCAGGACACTGGTGCCCAGCAGTGCGAAGCTCCAGCCAGCATTGCACATCATCAGCGCTCTGCACACTCTCTGGGCATGGGAGGGAAGCCCCAGGCACTGGAGCCAGCTGCCTTCCCTGCCCCGCAGGGGAAGGCGCCTGGAGCTTCCCTCCCCTGCTGTGCAGCTCCAGAGGAGAAGGCAGCCAGTTCTTGCACCTGGGGCTTCCCTCCAGTGCTTTGCGAATGCAGGGGGCTCCATGTGTGCAGCGGGGAGCACTGGTGATACAGACTGTCTAGCAGAGGCTGCATCCCTCACTGCAATGTGCAGCAATGGCTAAAGCTGTGCTCCAAAGGCATGAGCACCCTGAATGTCCCATCTGCTGCTGCTGCCACCACCTGCTCAGGCTGCATGATGTGGGAGGACTGTGGGGAAGCCCCCAAAGCCCCCCACCCTCCCTCATACCCACACCCTGCCCACCCAATCTCCGCACTGCTACCACGCCCCTGGGCACAGGCTCCATGCAGCGGCCACCCCAGCCCCATGCTCTGCACTCCAGCCCAGCTGCAGCTCTGCCCCTGCTGCCTGGAGTCAGCAGCAGACCAGGGAAGAAGAACAGGAGAGCGGTAGCCACAGCCCCACCCAGAGGCTGTGTGCTGGCTGGGCCCTTCCACCCACGAGGGTGGGAGTGATGCACAATAGGGTACACCCTCCCCTCTCCAGACATACATGTGAGCACCTTGCTCCCACCCTCATGGGCAGAAGGCCTAGGCAGGGTACAATTTGTTTGTGGGCGCAGTGGAACAGATGGAAGTGCTTAGCAGACCAGATCCAGCCCACAGGCTATATTTTGCCTGCTCCTGTTTTAGAACTTTCTATAAAGAACTTAGGATTCTGGCTTATGGTTTATTTCATGTGTAAAATACCAGAGCTACGTTGTTCAAGCAGGTATGCTCTCCCCGAACTTTGGGTTTCTCTATATATGAAAAAAACCTTATTAACTTGTCTCCTGTTTTATCTATGTGTCTTACATTATCAAAAAGTCACATAGGAGTTCATGGGACCTCAATATTATTCTAATTGTACTCCTTATCAAAGGAAGTAGTTCTGTGCCTGGTACTGCATCCACTTCACTTACTGTATGGTTGACTTGGTAGCTGGTATGTGGGCCAAGTTAAACAAGCTTTCTTGATTTTGAAGGTCAGTCCAGCATAAATTAAACTACCTGACAGAGCCCTGCAAAGAACATATTTAATGAGTTATTTGTGTTATAATAAGGTTAGTGTAACCTGCAAGTTGTATTTACAATCTGATTAAATTAGGTAGGTATTAAGAACAGGCTGCTGGCAGTCCAAATCTTGTACAGTACAGAATCCAAAAATTACAAAATGGTGAGTAGGTACCATGTCCCGATGAACTTTATTCAATGTTTTTTTCCAGTATAGAAAATGGGGATACAGCAAGGTTCTAATGGCAACTTGTTACTTACCTTTTGATCCCAGTGCCAAAGAAATGTTCATATAACATTCTGCAGAGATGTGAAGCCCCTTACAGCCACTTGGCTTTGCTGAAGTTTAAGGCTTCCTCTGTTTCCTGGAAAAAAAGCAAGAGATGCATCAGTTGAAGGAACTGTGGGACCTTTAGACCAGATATTTACAAGAATAAAAATCTATTCACTCTAAGAGACCTGAGGCATTGTAAAGGACTTTGGCACTGACCTCCAACACCTCTGCTGGTCCCTTCCTTATACAGTTTGGCTTGGGACAGAAATTGCAGATAAACCAGTATAAGCGATGAGCAGGAAAATGGAGAAAAAAAAAAAATCACAGATTTTCCCCTTTACCAGAGGAAAAAGCAGATTTCTCATTTTACCAGAGAAACCCGCAGATTTTGCAGTTTTGCAAAGAGCTCCCTGCAGGCTGGCAGAGTTCCAGCCTGCAAGGGGCTGGGTGGAGCAGAAGGAGGGCAGTCAGGCAGGGGCTACCATGTGCATGTACAGCCTGGAGAGCAGCTCCCACTGGTAAGTGAGAAGGGGGATTGAGACCCACATAGGGAGCAAGGGAGGGAGTTGGGCAGGGCTGGGGTTGGGGCTGGGGCTAAGGCCGAGCTCTGTGCTCTGCTCTGCTGCAGTAGCTGCTGGGCTGTGGACCTGGGTCCCTAGCCCCATAGCCCTGGCAGCTGGAGGCCCCCTCCAGCAGGGCTGGGACTGGCAGGGGGCTGTGGGTGGGGAGCAACGGGCACCAGCAGGGCTTGGGGGGGCTGTGAGAGGGAGTGAGGGACATGAGCAGGGCCAGAGAGCTGGGGTGGAGATAGGGGGGGAGTGAGAGGCACCAACAGGGCCAGGGAGGCTGGGGGGGAAAGGAAGAGACTTTCATTTTACATTACAGATTTGGGGGGTTTTAAAAATCAGAGAATGAGAGATTTTAATCAGGGAAAACCAGGATCCCTGGCAATGAAAAACTACTTCAAATCTGTAATACAACAGAAGTTCAGTGCACATAAACTGCTTTCAAAATGGCCAAAACCAGTTTAAGATAAGCCTGGATGTACCTGATTTAGGTTAAATCAGTTTATTGACCTTCTGCCCCAGACCCCCTTCAGATTCAAGTTAACTCACAGTCCCCCAGCATCCCACGATGTTTTGCATGTCCCCTACAAACTTGCTCTCACAGAGTAGGTGGGCTAGCCTTGGCCCAAGCTGTCTGCAGAGAGGCATGCTTTAGTGCCCCCCTGGCTTCTGGCCTGGGCCACTGCAGGCATGTGGTAGCATTTCCAGAATCAAAACTGAATGTCTGTTCACTGGCTTATCCATTTATTCTACACAGCATAGACAAATCTGTGAAAATTGAATTGGTTCAGCCTCAGGCTTTTTGACTGTCTGTATTTAGTTCTCATGGTCTTAAAGTTTAGTAGAATTATATGAGTTCATAAGCAAGCTGTTTGTGCTTTGGAAAACTCATTGTATCAGTGAGATGGCAATAAAAAAATATGTTTATCTTATACAACACTACCAGAAAGAATGCCAAGGAAATGTAGTCTACCAACCAAGGAAGGCTATAGAGCTATGTTACCTTGCTATAGTATTAACTGAGGAGAAAGGCTCAAAGTGATGACATAAAAATTCAATACATAAAAAAGCAATACGAAAAACCCAAAATAAAGATATGAGCTTTTCAGCCTGAATTGCCTACAAACTCTGTTCCATGTGGATGTACCCTTATCCCACATGCATGCATTATAGCATCATATCATAAAAGAATAGGAAACTAGTAGAGAAACACTTTGGGGTGAGAAAGGAAAAAACTGCATTCTGGATTTAGTTGGATAGTACTAATTCAAACCTGGCAGTGTCACTGCTCAGTTGCAAGTATCACTGCACAACTGCCAGTAAACAGCCCTCCTCTCCCACTTAACATCCTTTTTCTAGGACTCAGCCTAAGCTAGACCAAGTTAAACCTTTTTCTTCCTTCCATCCTAAACAGAATCTTCCTCACCTACTGCTTATTCTTCTCTCACATAACAGAAGATGAGATCTCCCGTCTCATGGTCTCTAATGGTATGAGCCCATGTACATTTGGAGCGGTTTCAGAAGGGGAGGAGGGACCCTTACTTGGAACCACAGAGCATGTGGACAAGCTAGGAATGATACAAGTGTAGCAGAATACCTCCAATTTTAGCAAGGCTTCATCCAGGATTATAGCTGAGACAGTTTTACTACATTTGTTTGGCTCCCAGCTTGTCCACACCCGACAGAACACAAGAGCTGCTATGCACTCCCAATAAGCAGCTCCCCTATGGACATGGCGTCACATGTTTGTGTATCCATGCTTTCTCTCTCTCTGGTGCCTGCCAAAATGTGCCCTCTTTTTCTCGGCACGCCCACTTCACACTTCTGCTAACCTACTGCTAGCTCTGAAATCCTCTTCGGGGATCGCCACCTTGTAGTAGTGGAGAGGTTTACATGTTCCAATGATCCTGAGAGCAAGGCCGTCGGGAGCTTCATGCTCCTGGTAGAGTCACCCATGGCAGCAAGGTTGAGGGGGAGGCTTCCAATTAAGAGTGATCCAAAAAGACCTCAGCAGCGGACCAGGTGGAAGAAAAGCCTTTTTCAGTGGCTGTGAAGGCAGACAAAAGCTGCAGCAGATCAAGGGTCTCCAATCATCTTGGATTCCATACCATTGGACTTAGATCCCTATCTGTCAAGGACCATGAGTTTGTTGGCATACGACAACATCCTCATGCTAAAAGAAGTCACACACACGTGTCTTACTTATGGGAATCATACATCACCTCTGCACAACAGTAAAGTCCTACAGTGATCAGAGTGGTGATGGGGACAGGACTGCAAGATCTGGAAGTTCCTAGTCATGGCGGTGGGTGTTTGCTTTGCTGATCACTGCCTCATCTGTTCCTTCATGTCCATCAGGATTACTCCTAAATGAAGAATGCAAAGGAAGCAGATCAGGCGCAAGTTAAACACTGAGTGCTTGAAGGAACCACTCATGCAGGGAGAATTCCAGCAACTCCTGAATGAGACACTACCAACAGAGCACCCAGAAAGAGCACTGAATCAGACTCAAGACAGCTATTCTCTCATCCTGTGAGAATACCATAGGATACAAGACCAGGAAACATCAAGACTGGTTTGATGAAAATGACACTGAAATTCAAGGTCTCATCAACAGAAAACAGAAAGCTTTCTGTGCCTGGCAGAATGACATCAACTCTGCCATCAAGAAAAATGCACACCAACAAACAAACAAACAAACAAAAAATCAGAAGTGCAAAGGAGAACACAAGAACTGAAGAATGAGTGGTGAATTCAGAAATCAAAAGAAATCCAACATTTTGCTGACATCCATGACACTCGTGGCTTCTTCAGTGCCACCAAAGCTGTCTATGGCCCTAGCACTCAAGGCCTTAATCCTCTAAGATCAAAGGATGGAACAATACTCCTCAAAGACAGTGAATCCATCAATGCTCACTGGAAAGAACATTTCCAGGACCTTCTGAATCATAACTCAGCTGTCGATGAAGATAAGATCAACAATTTTCTTCAAAAAGCAATCATAGAAGACCTTGGTTTGCCGCCTACCCTTCAGAAAATGAAGAACAACAAGGCAGCCGGTGTTGACGGAATACCTGCAGAGATTTTCAAAGGAGGAGGAGAACAACTTATGCGTCAGCTTCATGTCCTCATCCTTAAAATCTGGAACAAGAAATCCCAGCCAACCAAAGGGATGCCTTGATTGTTACCATCTTCAAGAACGGGGACAGAGCTGATTGCAGAAACTACTGAGGCATCTCATTGTTGGCCACTACTGGGAAAGTCATTGCCCGTATCCTCACTAACCGCCTTCTCCCACTTGCAGAAAAAAATTCTTCCAGAATTTTAAAGCAACTCCAAACCATCTCGAGGAACTGCAGACATGATCTTTGCAGCATGTCAAATCCAGGAGAAGTGTTGTGAACAAAAATCGACTTCTGTAAAGCCTTTGATTCTGTAAACTGTGAAGCCTTATGGAAAATCCTGTCCAAAACTGGCTGCCCAAGCAAGTTCATTAGTGTCCTGAGACTTCATCATGACAACATCTCAGCAAGGGTTCTTAACAACAGGAATCAAAGAGAACCATTTGAGGTAAAAAACTGGAGTGAAGCAAGGTTGCGTCATCGCTCCAATTTTGTTTTCCACCTTCATCTTCACCGTAATGCACCTCGTCGACAGAGATCTCCCACCTGGAATTGAAATTGTGTATAGGGTGGATGGAAGACTTCAACCTCAGACTCAAGTCCAAAATGAAAACCACAAGAACATCCATAATGAAACTCCAGTATGTAGATGACAATGCTGTCATTGCTTAATCTGAAACGGACTTCCAAACCATTCTTAATGTATTCTCGGAAGTCTACAAGAGGATTGGCCTAACTCTAAACATCAGGAAAACACAAGTCCTTTACTAACCTGCTCCAAATGGAGAAACAAACCCCCTCTCCATTCAAATCAATGGAGAATTGCTGGAGAACGTGAATCACTTTGCCTATCTTGGAAGCCAGCTTTCATCAAAGGTAGACATTGACACAGAAATACAACACCACTTGAAATGTGCGAGATCAGCCTTTGGACATATGAATAAGAGAGTCTTCTTAAATCACGACATCCTTGCTGAAACAAAGCTCTTGGTTTATCAAGCCATTGTCATTCCAACTCTTCTGTATGGCTCGGAAACTTGGAGCACATACAGAAGACATCTCAAGAGCTTGAAAGAGTACCATCAATGGTGCCTTCACAAGATCCTTCAGATTAGCTGGGAGGATAAATGCACAAACATCAGCATCTTGGCTGAAGCAAATTCCAACAGCATTGAGGCCATGGTCATCCAAAACCAACTTCGCTGGACAGGTCATGTTGTTTGCATGCCTGATTCCCACCTTCCAAAGAGAATCTTTTTCTCACAGCTGAAAGAAGGTCAGTGAAGTAGCGGAAGGCAAAGAAAGCACTTCAAAGACACCCTGAAGGCAAACATGAAGAGGTGTAACATCAACATCAACACTTGGGAGACCCTTGCTCAGGACCGACCAAAATGGAGGAAGGA